TCCTCTTGCCCATAAATTGCAATTCCTTTATACTTAGTTATTATCGCAATGTAATCAGGTTACATTGAAAGTTAAAAATACAAAAATATACAACCGGGCGCATCGCCTACTAAATAAAATCTACCTATGGAATATTATTTTACATACAACCTTAGGCCATCCCTAGATACCTTCGCCACCTAATCTACTCATTTATTATCTAATATAAAATTCAAAAATATTCATCAAAGAACCATATGTACAACCCTAAAATATTCCTGTTTATGGATAGATATTTTGATTACGGTCCTAAATACATGAGCCCCTGTATGTACAAGAAAAACGTGGATTCAAGAGTTTTTGCTCGGCCATTGGGCTACTTGCATGCATCTGTGTTCCTGGTGACTTAAAATTGGTTCACCAAGTTAGTCAACACCCAAATAAAAATTTGCACGTAATCAGAGTCACAGTTGTAAAGCATGAAATGCACCAAGCCAAAATTTCCCAGCCAAGCCATTAAAACAATTAGAAAAAAGGCAATCAATCGAGGGCTTAAACAATGCAAATAAAACTCTCTAGAAAAAATGTGCAAGTAGCCCAGTCCCAATCAGGATAGGGCGACGGAACCTTCACTTCTCGTCAAAACTGGTGTTCACAAAATAGGTGGTAAGGGTGCCTTTGCCCTTAACGAAAGTGGGTCCTCGGCACTCGCAGGAATATCCGGCGTTTTTCAAAATTTCGGCAGTGTCTTCCGGCACCTGAATACGCCCCATTATGCCGCAGGAATCCATTCTGGAGGCGACATTCACCGTGTTTCCCCAAATGTCGTATTGGGGCTTTTGCGCCCCCACCACACCAGCAATCACTGGCCCATGATGGAGCCCTAAAAAATTCAGGAGTTTGAAACCCTTTTTAGCATCTTCAGAAGACTTTAATCCGAAATTTTCAGTGTTTTATGAGATTTTTTGTGGCTTTTCAAGAAGATTGGCGAAAGTTCTTGACCATGCCAAAGAGGCGCAGTGTCGCATTCGCCATTCGCTCAATCAATTTTTTACAGAATTACTTGAAATCGGATCTCGTTCTCCTAAAAATGCTCAAGAAGAACCATCAGGAGCCTTAAAAGGCTTTTCTTGGCAAGTCTTAAAGTTTCATGTCGCAGTAGCGCCAACGCCCGATAAATTTGATAAATTTTTTTTATCCGCCAAATGTTGAGATGGTGTTTTTGCCCGGAAAGGAGCTTTAAAATCAGGAAAATTTACTGTAAAATGTGGTCAAGATATAATCGATTTGTGAGCAAATGAGGGCATAAAAAGTATGACAAACATCAGGGTCTAAAGCATGCCGCCTGAATTAGAAAAATGTAGACGACATAGAGACTTTTGCCTTAATATGAACTTTGCACACATCTAAATGTTAGAAAATGGTTTGCCAATATTAAAAAAATATATTTGTAAGCTGAGTTATAAGCAAAACAGTGCGGCGACACCCTAAAAAAATGCCAGTTGAAGTAGACAGGAAGCCAAAAGACGCCCGAAAAATTTCCATTTTTATTAGTCAGAGTTGGAGGTCGTTTTTCGGGAAATGGAAGCCAAACATGTGCTTTTTCTTCAAAAACTCTTTGACTCGAAAATTGTCTACAAAACGTCGGTTTGCCTTAAACAGATAAAAATAAATAACGTAGTTATACGGCAAAGAGTGCAGAGACCCATAAAAAATTGATATCTTCATTTGACCATTATTCAAGAGCGTTTGGCTCAAACTGGAGAGCTGATATAAATTTTTGCTGTGCAATCCGAATCAAGCCCGGAACTTGGCTACAAAATGTGGCTCCGATAATAGGTAAATGGGCACAAACTATTGAGTTATCGGTAAAAGTGGGCTGACACACTGAAAAAGGTAATTTCTGAGTAGATCAAATTTCGATCAAATTTTTCCCAAATTTCGGGCAGATGGGTAATTATGCTTCCAAGCCGGCGTCAAGGCATGTACATTGGCTACAAAATTGTCTAATTCTATTGATTAACTGATGGAAAACCACGGAGATATGAGTAAAAGAGTGAGATGACAAACTTAGAATTGATATCTTAAGAAACCGCCATTTCAAACTGGTTTGGCTCAAAGTTGAAGATCGAAAAGTGGCCGTCAATGTACGAGTAAAGGCCCCTATATTAGGTCCCAAAGCTCGTTCCGGTAATAAAGAAATAGTAAGGAGCAGCTGAGTTAAAGGAAAAATGCTGAGAAGGCCCACTAAAAATCACTATCATAACTAGCCCAATATTCAAGCTCGTTTCTCTCCATATTAAGTCCACATATCTAATTCGTTTTGCAGCTGGTTTTAAGCCAGGAAAGTGGCCTACAAAACGATATTCTTATATTGACCAAATGTTGAAAACATTTCGAACATAAGATACTATGAAACGCGTAAACAGCTACCCTAAACAGCTCTAGTTTTTCGTGGCCCTAAAGAGCGATCCAAATAATAAGGAGATTTACAATACGAACAGACTTATAAACTCAGTGGTGAATTTTGAGGCACCGAGAAAGAAAAGAGAGATTCTTCAGTGGAAGAAGTGTCAGAAGTTTGGACACATCAAAAATTACTGTAACAAGAGTCCGGTGTGTGTGAAGTGCGCGAAGTGCCATCTCACTAGTGACTGTCCCATTAAAATCAAAATTAAGGAAGTCTTATGTGCCAACTGTGATGGTAATCATCAAGCATCAAGGGCTGCGTTATTCGTAAGGAACTACAAAAGAAGCCTTTCCCAACACTAAGAGCTAAGGAACTCGACAGGGACACACAAACTCAAAGGTTCAATACAGATTTTGCAAACCCATCACAGTCTTTTGCCGGTTTGTCTAATCAAAAACAGCCTACAGAGACCGGTAAATCAAAACGTAAACAATAACAAAATTGAAGTAATGATGGCACAACTGTTAGCCCGCATGGATTCAATGCTCAATATGCTTACATGTTTATTGAGGAAATTAAATGTATAAACACAATTTAAAAATAGTCATATGGAACGCTAACGGTCTTTGCCAAAGATTTCTTGAATTGCGAAATTATTTAGTTGCAAATAACGTCGATATTTTGCTAGGTTCAGAAACACACTTTACAGCTAAAAAATTTATTAGAATCCCTAATTATTCAATCTACAACACAAACCATCCAGACCATAAAGCCATGGTGGCACAGCAATCATCATACAAAACAGTATAACTCACCACGAAGCAGAAAAAATAAGCGAACTATATTTACAAGTAACAAGCATAGTGATTGAAGATTCTACAGGACCACTCACATTGTCTGCAGTATACTGCCCTCCAAGATTCAGTGTTACCAGTGATCAATTTATAAATTTGTTCAGCCGACTAGGGGGTCGCTTTTTAGCAGGAGGTGATTATAATGCCAAACATCCATGGTGGGGCTCTAGATCTGTAACACCGAATCAGAAAGAGAGACAGCTCTACCAAGCAATGCAGCAATATAAGTGTAGCCCTTTATCAACTGGCGAACCAACCTATTGGTCAACTGATACAAACAAGCTGCCCGACCTAATCGACTTCGCGATTCTTAAAGGAATAAATACCTGCTACTTTACAGTGAAATCATGTCTAGAGCTGTCATCAGACCATTCCCCACTCGTAATCGAATACTCTACAGCAGTAAAATCCGGACTAAAACAACATCTCACCCACCATAGAACCAACTGGTAAAAATACCGAAACCACATAGACAATAACTTAAATTGCAACATCCGTCTGAAATCAATCAATGAAATCGAAGATGCCATAGAAAACTTTAACATCCTATTACATGAAGCTGCAAATTTCGCCACTCCAAAAACCCAAACAAACGATTTTCGCATAAATTTTCCTCAGCATATAAATTGTAAAATAAATGAGGTAAGAAAACTTAGAAGAAAATAGCAAAACCTCAAGTTAAAACCAAATTGAACGGAGCCATTAAAGAATTAAAAGAAATTTTATACACAGAAAAAAACCAAAATATCCAAAACTATCTAAAAAGCTTAACTGGAAAAGCCGATACCGACTACTCACTATGGAAAGGTACAAAAAAATTCAAGCAACCTATCAAGTTTATACCACCCATTAAGAAATCAGATAACAGCTGGGCACGAACAGATTCAGAAAAAGCAGATTGCTTCGCTAAACATTTAAGTTCACTTTTTAAACCTATCCCCCCTTCAATATCTGCCGAGGAGGAAGCGAAATATCTGGATGGGGAACTGGAACTGCCAGATAACATCAACATAGGAATAATAACAGCGGTAGACGTGACGTTTCAAATTAGAAGGCTAAAAAACAAAAAAGCTCCTGGCTATGATGACATTGGAGGTATGATGCTTAATAAACTTCCACCCAAAGCAATAAGATGTTTCATTATTATAATTAACTCTTGTCTCCGATTGAGTCAATTCCCTTCACAATGGAAAGTCGCTCAATTCATTATGATACCTAAACCAGGAAAAGATCCTAGCCGGGTAATGTCGTATAGGACCATTATTCTGCTGCCTGTAATGTCAAAAATATGCGAAAAGTTATTCAAAAGAGACTAAATAAAATAATAAATACAAAGCACCTTATTCCAGATCACCAATTTGGGTTCAAGCCAGAACACTCGACAATTGAACAAGTTCAAAGGACCACTACCGCTTACAGAGATTGTTTTGAAAGGAGAGAACACTGCGAGGCAGTCTTTCTTGACGTAACACAAGCCTTTGACGAAGTGTGGCACGAAGACCTGATATCAAAAATTAAAAAAATATTCCTGACAAAGCTTGCTTGTCTGCTGGCATCGTACTTGACAAACAGGATCTTTCAGGTAAAAATAAATAGCAACTTCAGCCCGCTCCAGCAGATAAATGCTGGAGTCCCTCAAGGAAGCGTACTGGGGCCCACCCTGTACTTATTCTTCACAGCAGATTAACAGCAAAAAGCATAAAAAATGGAACATTTGCAGACGATGAGGTCTACACATCATCTCATACGGACCTAAAAACAGCAATGTTACAGAAGCGCCTTGTAAAGCTGGAAACCTGACTCAAGCACAATAGAATCAGCATAAATACAGACAAGTCAACCCATGTAACTTTCTCACTCCGAAGATACACAAGGTCCCCATTATAGTTAAATAATGAGCTAATACCGCATAAAGACGAAATCAAATATCTGGGAATTCACTTGGACAGTCGGTTAACATGGAGACCACATATATGGGCAAAACGGAAACAGTTAGGCTTAAAAATCAGGCAAATGTACTGGCTAATCAATAAGAACTCAGCACTGTCTCTTGAGAGCAAGCTTTTAATCTACAATTGCATACTGAAACCGATCTGGACGTATGGAATCCAATCATGGGGCTCTGCAGCAGACTCAAGCATTGACATAATGGAACGTTTTCAATCCAAATCACTAAGAAACATAGTAGCAGCACCATGGTTCGTACCCAATGAAATTATCAGAAAAGACCTTCAAATTACTACAGTGAAAGAAGAAATAATAAACTACTTTAAAAAATACAAAAACAGATTATCGAAACATCCAAATGAATTAGCAAAAGAGTTACTTAATAATACTAATGTGGTGTCTCGTTTTCGGAAACGCAGGAACTTGTTCAACTTGTTGTAAATTTTTAGAATTACTTAACTAGTCTATTGTTCACTCAATTTAAATGTTTTGTAAATAATTGATCAGGCTTGTAAGAGTGCTTTATTAATGAGCGAACACTCACATGTTATTTCTTATGTTAACAATTTTTACTTATTGTCTCACAATTGTACACAAATAAAAGGAGTTATTAAAAAAAAAGTAGCACAGATTGCCAGCTTGTCTATCTCAAAATTGCTGGTAAATGGGTGACTTTGCTTCATTACAAAACTCAGTAAATTTGGCTTAAAATCTCGTTTTCATATCAACAAAAATCGACCAAATAAGTGAGTTATAAACGGGCGAAGATTGCAGAGTGCCACTAAAAACTGTCGGCTTAAGTAGCCACGACTATTTTGAAAATGAAGGACCTTTTCCCTGCTGTACTTCAAAGGCCAGTAAAGGCCTGTAAAGTTGCATTTGAATGGGTGTAAAATCATAAACAGCACCTGAGTAATAAAACAAAACAGTGCGGACAAACACTAAAAATTTCCATGCAAGTTAGCCCAATTTTGATCATTTATCTCTGAAGATGGACGGGCGAAACGTAATTTAAATGATACCAAATAACTTTAACTTTAGCCAAAAAATGAGAAAACAAACGTTAAAATTAAGACAGCGTTCTTGATTAGTTTAGAAATCGTGTACCTAAATAGGCGATTTTACTTCTAACGCACCTTCAAACGGTAACTAAATTACTTCCTTCATTTAAAAAAATGATCAGAAATTACTTATGCAAGAGAAAGCTACAAGCACAATTCACCACCTGAAACAATTCAGTAAACCTGAATTCGAGCCCGTTTCCTCGAAGCGAAAGCCAAATGTATGAGTTCGATCTAAAATGCACCTCAAAAGCGGAAAGTGGGCACAAAATAACGTTTAAATGATTAAAAAATTATAACAAGCAAGTGAGTTTTCAGTGAAAAGGCGCCGGATCGAACATGAAATCAAACTCCCTAAATTGAATGAGCCCAAAATTCTAACCCATTTTTCACAAATTTTCGACCGTCGAAGAGTTTTTGCTTCGAAACGTTGTAGCCAATTAAATCTCCTTTACAATCAAGTTTTTATATTGGAAAACTTGCAAGAGTTAACGGAGTTTCGAGCAAAAGAATATGAAAATACCGTCAAGCTGCCTGCGACTTTTCACCGGTAAGTTTTTACAGTTATGAACCTGTAAAAAACAGTTCTTAGAGGAAATTGACGGCTTCCCAGGCAAACTCTCCTAGTGAAATCTCGAGTCAAATTTATTTTGTAGTCGCTTTTTGGGCAGATTTAGTCGCTTCCAGAAGTCATTTGACCGGGTAGAGTAACATTTTGTTTGTTTTAAAGAAATTGTTGTTGCTCTTTTAGCAGTTTTGCAATAGATTGGAGCAACATAATTAATTTGCAAAGTTTTCCACATTAGTTTGACAAGTTTATATCAAGAATTCGCTTAATCTCTAGTATTTTTGACTCTAAAGAAAGTGTATATGCGCTGTGGGTCTGAATGTTCGCACTTTTTACTGGCTGATGTAGCCAGTTTCCATTCCAAAGCGTTCAATATCTGAAGATGCAAAATTCACGAATTTTTAGTTCAAGTCTTTGACGTCTTCGGAACTTTTGGGTTTGAAGGTTTGAAGCCAAGTTGCGTCCAAGTCGAGCAAAAGATGCTTTTACATTTTTCTGGAGACCAATTTTTCGGCAACAAAATCAAAACACCTGCAAAAATAAACCTTGATTTCTTCGTTAAAGAAAACACTAACATCGTGTATATCAAACTGGAATTTCTCTGAAATTTCCACTAAATCAGTGAGCAAGCAACGGAAAAGCAACTGCAGAGAATAATTACCAAATCTGAGCTTAAACCTTTGAAAAGCATCTCGATTGATCTGGTCAAGGCTGGTCATCAGGCAGATGGCAAAGTCCACTAAGGCTATAATGATGTGTTCGGCTTTCCTGGTTGCTTCCTAAAAAACAGAGACTTTAATATAAACCACCAACTACTTTCAACTTGGGCATTTGCCCAGGAAAAACTACCTTGAAAACATCCTGCAATCAGCAGCAAAGTAATCAATCTAAGTCAGCTCAATCACAAACTCGGCACCGAAATCCAACTTACCGAAGTATCAGTCTCTTTTCCCGGCCTCAATCCCGACGCCAGCATGTAGGTGCTGCCAATCGTTTTAATTTTCTCTATGCAGCTGAACTTTGGCTTGAGCAATAGCTGGAAATTAAGCAAACTTTTGCCAGTCACGTTTGCCTCGATCCGAATCCAGCCAATGATTTACCTTGTCGAACTCGCAGATTATCTCGTTCAGTAGCCGCAGGCATTCCAAGCCCTGCTTGTTCACGTCGCTTTCATCATAAAACTCCTTGTAGTTTGGAATGGAGGCAAACATTACGGCTACGCAAGAGTACCTCTCATGGTACAGATCGGTGGTCACTCGGTTTGAGAGAAAATGTTCAGCCACGTGGGCCGGAAGGATGTTTTCCAGAAGAATCTGCAATATTCCAGGAAAACGTGACCTCTTCTGAAATCTACCGCGCCCGAACTAAAAAAACCTACCTTATTGATGCCTCGCATCGTTTCAACTTCCTCCTGTTCCACTTTGAGCTTGGCCTTCCACAGGTAATCCGTCCTGGATGTGTACTCGATCTGCCGATCCAGAATGTGGAAAAAGATGACCACCATGGCAAGAACAAGCGCGGTTTTTATCTCAAAAGGCAGCCCTGGAAATCTGGAAAATCATCAATCAGAACTAAGAATTAAGCAGCTGCTGGAGGCACACTTACTCGTCATCGTGCACATCCAGCGCATGGTATTCCTGGAAAAAGTCCAGATAACTGTAGATGACTATATGGACAACCACTGAGACCATCATCAGGCTGAGTTTGAGCAGAAACCCGATGCGCAGGAATACTGAGATGGCTGCCAGCACTAGGGCGGAACTGTATAGATAGGTCTGAAAAATGGCTGTGGATTAGTGGAAAGAATCCTGCGAAAAGTGGCAACTTACAGGAACGTAGTGGACTATTTCTGGACCAGGATCAGGCTGGCTGCTTGTGAAGACCGTCAGGTTTTCTGTGGATATTAACTCTGCTGTTTCCTTCAGCTGAGGACTGTAATTCACCTGAAACAAAGCTTTGTTGTTTGACAAAAAATACATTTTTTTGTGCAAAAGCTATATTTGCTGCAAAATTTTCCAACAATCGCGATCAGCTGAAAAAAAGTAAATTGATTTCAGCGAGTCAATGAAAAAATCTGGCAGTTTTCGCTCCAAAAACTGAAGAATTTACCCTTTGCCCAAAGCGGATGCACTTGGTTTGATTCATCAAAATACGGGTCAGAACAAATTCAAAGCGAGTTTTTTAATCTCTCATTTAAATTGCTCGTACATTCCCCCGATATTAGAAAAAATATAACTTTTTTGAAGAACTTTGACCATCAATAGCCGAGGTGCCGGACATTTTTTCCTAGTAAATGTCTCAGAACCCTTTTGATCATGTGCTTACGGGACACCCAGTATATTACTTAGAGCATCGCAATTATTAGCCTGTGAACTGAACAAGCATTCGAACCTTCATGACTGTAACCAAAAGTTGCAGAAAAACGTTTTTTAGACACCATATGTGTATTAAATTTTGCAATTAATTTTCTAAAGCTAAAAAGATGAAGTGTTTTGTTGAAAACAACAATTTTTTCTAAATAAATTTAAAGTGAAAACAGTGGTTTAAAATCAGTCAAACAAAAAACAGCCACGTTTTCCAGATCCTTCCGTCGGCTTTTGCAAAAACCGCAAAGTTTCATAGCGATTCTTGTCGGGTTAAGTCTGTCACGATTTTAACCAAGAGATTAAAAGAAAAAAAAAATTAAATGTGAAAATATTAACTGTTTGGATTCAGTTTGAAAATTACTTTACTTATTACTTTAAAATTTATTTTGGAAACCCCAAAACGAGCATTCAATCAAAGTCTTAATTTTTTTTAAATAATTGGTAATTATCTTTCCATTTATGGCAAAATATGGACTTTCAATCATAGAACTCTAAAAAAGTTGGGTTTCAGCCAAATATCTAACCTATAAAAAGAGCAAAAAAATTAGAAATAGAAGCAAAAATTGCCAAATGTTGTCTTAGACAATTGAAAACATCTTATATCTAGACTTAAAATAAACTTTTCAATAAATAGTATCAAGAACTAAGTTTCATTGAGTGCGCTTATAACAAAATATTAACTTTAAAAGAGAGAAAGTAAAAAATATATAAATTAACAAAAAGATAAGAGATAGGGGAATACAAGCTTAAAACACCCTGTATACCTGAAACCGTTTGTAATATCAGTTTGTAAATATAATTTGTCTGGAGGTATTCGATGGTTCGTCTCAAGAGCGCTCTTTCACTGATTGGGTTTTATGAGAAATATAACCTCTAAAGCGCTGGAAGCAAAATCAGAAACAAAAAAAACAGGAAAGCAGTGTTGAGAATGGTCCAAAAATGATAATTTTCGATGGCCCTTATCGAAATCTCCCTTTCTTTTACCATGTTTCATCAGGCTTTCTTAACCTCTAAAGAGATAGAAGTATAGCTAGTAGAATGCAGAAGTTTAAAAGCGCCGATACAATTTACAGTATAAAAAAACATAGGTAATAACAAATAAAAAGTGAACACAAAAACAGAAACAGTTTTAAGAACTATATCCAGATTGGATTTAATAACAAATTCCTAACCTCAAAAGAGAGAGAAGCAAAAATGTCTAAATTGTACAGAGATTCGAATTTTAAAACATCAAATAGCTCAGAAAAAAATGGGAAAATACATTCAGTCCTAACAGTTTTAGAGCTCTCGTCTCTAGAACTGCCTCTGGTAACTAGGAATTCCTAACCTCCAAGGATTTGAAAGCAGAAATGTGAATATTGCTGTGGCATTAGAAGCTTAAAATACGCAATATTTGGAAAAATCTTTGGTATTAGCCTGGTTAGTTTGATCGCCTTGTCGAAAGACCATCGTTACAACCACATTTTCTACGCACTTTTCCCCAATTTATTGGCCTATTACTGAAGGGTGCCAGAGATGAGCGTATGGAATTGGGCTGCAATCGATAAGTGATAAGGAATTCTTTTTTTTTTGTTTCAAATTCGGCGCTTATCTTAAGGAAAAAGCGAATAATTTGGCTCTTGGCTCAAGTGCTACGATGAACAGGACTAATGTTAAAACCTATGTTGATTTGCACGAATTTATTCCGAGAACAATTTCCAAGTGTATTGAACTTGAAATTGAAAATGTAACCAACTTATTGGCCAATAACTTTGGGAAAGTGCATGGTGGGACATCCAAAGATAGGAAACAAAATAGTAGGAAATTTGGGGCCAAATTAGCACTAAAATACCAGAAAATGTGCTCTCGTGAAATCCGCGGTTTCTCAATGGAAAACTGTCGTGAAACTCCGAACCTTCAAAGACATAAAAGCAAAAGTTGGAAATGCCATATCTGGAAACAGGTCAAAATATACATGAAAAGCTGTTAAAATCATCTCGGCAGAAGGTTTCAAATGCAGCAATAGCAAAATGTTTAACTTCAAAAGAGATAAACACAAAATTGAATTTAGATTTCGTCCAATTGCCTTTCATAGCTCATAAACGGCTGAACAGTTGAATCAGAATAATTAAAAAGATCTTTTCAGAAACAATAACGTTTCTCCCCGTTTAAGTTATGCTTAATGTGGCGACAGTTTTTTTTTGCTCAAGGTTTTGCCATTTGCAACGTAACCACGTTACAAAAGTCACCCCTAAGAGATCTAAACTTGAAAACTTGATAGTCAAAATCCAGCTTTCAGTACAAAGTCATGCTCTCAGCGGCTCGGAAATAGCATTAAATGAAAATATCTGGACGCCCGCTAGATTCATGCTGCTGCATTTTAAATCCCTCACTTATTTAAACAAAATAAACTTTAAAAAATTGTTGGTTATATTGGTAGCTCCAGAAGTATGTTGCTGGCAAAAACAGGTTGGGTTACATTAACAAAACCGCCTTTAGATGCTGCCTGTACTCAAAAATTCGGCAGAATTTGAAGCATAGTCATGCTCTCAAGATTGCTAAAGGGGAACCTCTACACAGTTATCAATAAATAATACCAAAGAATGTTACAAATACATTCCAGCAAATCTTAGCAATCTAAAAATACACATTTTAATGCACGATTTTTATCGCGTGAAATATAGCTACTATAATTTTTGAAAAATTTTCAATTTGCGTCCCATTTTTGCAATTTACTGGACGTAAATACTCGCCTTCATTTCCTGCTGCATGCAATTAGGAAAGGGCATCAGCATACCTAATTAGGACCAAGTAGAACGGCTGGTAAATTACGGAGATTAGACAATTAGGGAGTACAAAGGGCCCGTAAAGGGTCGTATTAGCATAAATCCCCTGCTTTAGACAGTGGGTTTACCAAGAACAATTGCGCCCATTCCCTGATAATAGTTTTGCCAGCCTCTGACTGAATTATTTTGCTGTCGGTACACCCTGAACGTCCTTAGACTAGATCAACAGTGTCAAGGTTAATTGATGACGCCTGAAGGCTGTTGGAGACCCTTCAACCGAAACGTTCCGCTTACCAATGTGGTAACTGCACAGGCTGAAATCAGCGTCACACTGACGAGAAAAATGGAAATTCGCAGACATCGACTTTCAGCCACCACTTGTCCTGGGGGGCTGCAGGCGCCCGGTTCATCCTGTGGGGTGTCCGAAGGGGGCCGAGGGCTGCAGCACCCATCCACCCAGCATAAATAGACGAAAATCAGCAGGACTAGAAGAGTGGGGCCAATGCTGCCGTACAGGACAATGTTGCTGCAACAAACCACACAGTCAGAAACCAAAAATGTCGTCTAAACTGGGCGAAACTTACTAAGGAATCGTGGTAATTTGCATGAGGCACATAGCGCTAAATATCAGCGTGGCGCAAGCCACATAACAGCGAAACTCTGGATCGGGCTGGTTTCGATACTCGCGTTCCTGTTTCCGGTTTTGAAACCACAAGACGGCCGGATTCAGGTCCTCCGAGTGCCACCACTTCCTAGAAAGCGAAAATTTACCACTAAATAGGGCCAGGCTTCTCCGGAAATTTTGACCAAAGGTCCCGTTTATTCCCCCCAAAGTTTCAATAAGGTCTCCTGATCGATACATCACGTGTTTTCAACAGTCTCATCACGTGATTGTCAATATTTTTGCAGGAATATATGAAATTCAGACAAATATAATGACTCTAAATTTAAAATGTAATTATTGAAAGATCGGCGTTTTTCGCGTTTTCCTTTTAGGAGTTGGAACGTTTATTTTGTCTTTGGAAATATTGTCATGCGAACAGTCACTTTCTGCACAATAGTGTGCATAGCTAACTGCAGGAATGAAGTTTTCTATTCGAATTGCATTTTGATTGTGTGCAGTGTAAAAGTGTAGTTATCTTTTTGAGAATTAACGGGTAGAAAATGGAGGATAGGGCGCCAGCTTGCAACAAGCTGTAACAATGATCTCTAATCCATAAATATTTTAATTTCAACTGAGTTTAGTTTGCCAACAATCATTTCCGAATCATCGACTAGTGAACACGTCAAATTTACGTTATTTTTAGCCCGAAATTTAAAATAATCGGCTGAAATTTACAATCAACTGTCCTTGACTCTGATCCTTTTTTCCTAGAACTTGACACCTTCAGTCCAGGTGGAAGTTCCACACAAAGCACCCAAAGAAATTCAATTATCCGGGAAGTTTGTCGTCGAAAGGGCCTCATTTGAGACACAATTAGGAAAGTTAGCCAAATGTACTTACTTGCATTCGAGGCACGTCGATCTGTCGGGCAGAAGGTTGGACTCGATCATGCCGAGAGTCTGGAAAAAGTTTTCGAATTAGAGCCGGGAAAGCGTCAGGATGAAGAGGAAAATGCGAAAAAATTCGGTTTGTACGTGCCGCATTTGGGTTGTTTGTTTTCGATGCAAATGAAGTTGCAGAAAGTTGCCTGCTGCAGTTGTCCAGTATTTCGTTGTTAGAGTCTACAGAGACAAATTGGAACTTTTTCGCTTCTGGGTTGCAAAGCTGCTTTTGTTTAAAGCTTCTCAACCCTTGTAACGTATTTAAAAAAGTTTCACTTTTTAGGCCCGAAGGTCTAATTAAATAATCCCTCTTTAAGAGTCTTAAGTTCAGTGCTTTTTCGCTAACAAACCTGGTAAAATATAGGAGCAGAAAAGTGCGGCCTCTGTCTGCTATACTTTTCGGAAAATTAACTTTTTAATTAAGCTGTGCGATTGTGTACGACTCTAAACTCTTACGCATTCCAAGATGCTATATTTTTCATGTAAAACCCTTGTTTTATGATAAAAGCTCGTCACAGAACTTCAGCTTTGGTAACATAAATTGATAAAAGAATCCATCAATGTATTTAGTAAATTCGCGCTTTTTCCCTAATTTTCATGACTAAAAATATAGAGTTTTCAGTGTTGAGTCAGTTAAGCTTTCTCTAAATTTCAGGATAAAATGCTGGTAGTTGTCTGTTTCAAATTTTGCGAGGCTAATCGGCATCGGTAGTTATAGGTTTAAATTATGAATATTTCTCGCGATGTTAGAATAAAAATTTGGTTTCATCCAAGCATTTCCGAAATAAATCGTTGAAAGATATAAATTTCGCCTTATTCGGGGACTTAAACAGTGAAGTAAACATCTGAAGATAAAACTCCGGTTTTGTTTGTTCATGCTTTTTCCAAATAAATTGTTAAAACAGTTAAAACACGTTTTCTCGACTGTCGAGCTTTTAAAAATGTTGAGACTGGATATTGAAAATGTCTATTTTTTGGCGACTTAATATTAGTTTATTATTTCTCTATTTACGTTTCCTGTAGATTCTATGATCAAATTATTTCTCTTTTTTTCGCAATTCCGCCTTCTTCTGATTTTGTAAAGTAAATTGTTGAAATAGTATATTTGACTAAAACGCTTTTTTAAACATCCGTCTTTCCGGAATTTAAATTGTGAAAGTTTTGTATATTCGACGCTAAAAGTCTGATTTCTGCCGGATTCAGTTTATGACAAATAATTTGTTAAAATTTTTCATCTATTTGGTTAAAATGCTCTTTCAACTCTCAACTATCAAACGTTGTTTCAAAATTCAGGTTACAATTTTTAAAAACACATTTTTCCAGGATTTTAATAGGGAAAGTTTCTCTATACTTAATCGACGCTAAAAGTCTGCTTTCTGTCGGATTCAGTTTATGCGAAATAATTTGTTAAAATTGTGCATCTATTTAGTTAAAAGGCTTTTTTCTCCCAACTTTCAAACGTTTCAAAATTCAAGTTCGGATTTTTAAATACCTATTTTTCCGGGATTTAAATAGTGAAAGTTTCTCCATATTCTACGATAGAACTCTGACTTCTGCCGGTTTTTTTGCAAACTAAATTGTTGAAAGAGTTTAGCTATTTTTCTAAACTATTGGTTTGGACTACAGGATGGAAGTTTTAAATTTTCAATTGCCTAGGGACTTAAACACCGAAAATATCGCACACACTGGTTTATTCCTGCTTTCGATGTTGCAAAATACATTTTTGAAGGAATCTTGAGTAAAAACACGATTTTGACAAAACCTCTAAACCGTTTCAAAAATCAGGCTTGAAATGTCGAGCTTGCAAGACGGAGTTTAACCAGCGAAAATTTTTTTATGTTTCAGTCTGAAACTCTAGTTTATGCCTGCTTCAGCTTGTACCAAATAGATTTTTTAAAATTCTATCTATTTGGACTTTTTCGTTATTCTTAGGCTGTAGGTCTCAAATCTCCAGTTTTCCAACACCCTAAACAGTGAAAACTTCTTGATTTGTTAGGGCGAACTGTGGTTTCTGCCGGCATCAACTTTTGCTAAATAAACTGTTGAAAGAGTCTATCTGTTTGGTTAAAACGCATTTTTTCTCTCAAGTCTCAAGCGTTTCAAAATTTACGTTTAAAGATTCAAGTGCCGAGTTTTCGGGGCATTAAACAATGAAGGCTTCTCTATAGGTATTCTATAATAAAAGGCTGGTTTCTCGCTGCTTCAGCATTTGCGAAATACATTTTTGAATAAGTCTGTCTATTTGCTTGAAATTGAAAAGCTCGTTTTCGAATTTTAAGTGCCAAGGTTTCCGAGGTTTAAACAGCGAAGTTTTCTCTGTATTCTATGATAAAAGTCTGGTATTTCCGTGCTTCAGCTTCTCCGAAATAAATTGTTGAAAGAGTCGATCTATTTGGTTAAAACTATTTTTTTTGGCTCAACAATTATGTGTTTCAAAATGGAGTTTTAATGTTTCAAGAGTAAAGTTTTCTGGTATTTAAATTTTAATGAAGATTTATCTATATTCTATTCTGAAACTCCGGTATCTGTCGGATTCAGTTTTCGCGAAAAAATTGTTGCAATAGTGTCTATCTATTTCGTTAAAACGACTTTTTTCAGTCAACTCTCAGGCGTCTCAAAATTCAGTTTTTCAATATGAAGCTTCCAAGTTTTCTGATGTTAAAATACTGACGATTTCTCTTTATTGTCTGATAAAAGTCTGGTTTCTGCCTACTTCAAAGATTTCAGAATAAGATGTTAAAAAATTGTTTGTCCATTTGTATATAACAGTTGTTTTCTCCTTAAATCTTAAGCGCTTTAAAATTGATTCCTCAGATTTCAAAAACGGAGTTTTCTAGGGTTTAAACAGGGTGGTTTTCTCTATATTCTCTATCAGCTTCAGCTTTTGGAAACTTAATTTTTGAAAAAGTCTATGCATTTGGTAAAAATATTTTTTTTCTCTGAACTCTCAAGCGTTTTAAAATTCGTTTTTTAAGTTTCAAGTACCGAGTTTCCGGGGTTTAAACAGTGGAGTTTTCTCTATGTTCAACAATAAAGGTCTGATTTCTGCCCACTTTAGCTTTTATGAAATAAATTGATGAAACTTTATATTTTCCAAATTCTCAAGCGTTTGGAAAGTCAAGGCGGAAGTTCCCAACGTGGAGTATTCCATGCGTTTAAACGGCAAAAACTTCTCTGTATTATACTGTACCGAGTGGAATAAAAGTTGTAAGCAGAAGAAAGAATTTGATACTCGGCCATCCACGGTAAGTTACCGTCAACTTCACTAACAATACCATACAATTATGTCCGAACTTAGCGAAATAAATTATTGGAAATGTCTATCTATTTGGTAAAAACTAGCGTATGTTGGCAACACTCAAGCGTTTGAAAATGCAGGCTGGAAGTTTGAAACGTTGATTTTTATGGAGTTTGGACGTTGAAATAAAACCGGAGTTTTTCGTGTAAAACTGTGGATTTTGGCACTTTTCCTACTAAACTCAAGAGGTTGTTAAAAATTCAGAATTTAGACATGCCAACTAATGTTCAGTTTAAAGAGTTATATTTCCTTTTTCGCCTGATGTTAAAATGTGTTTTGTCTACTTTAGTTATTGCGAAATAAACTGTTGAACTGATCCCATCGTTGGTTTAACACACTTTTAGCTCGACTCTAACGCGTTTTAAAACCCGGGCTGAAAGTTCAAAATATCAAACGAGATCGAGAGAATCGAGAGTTTAAAAAGTGAAGACTTTTCAGGTCGAAATTTTTAGTTCGTGAAATTAATTAAGTAAACGGTATTCACATTTGATTAAAACTTTCTTTCATTGCTGATCTCTAAAGCATCGTAAACTTTGGAAAGTTTTAAGAGAGTGGAGGAATTTGCAATGGTTTTCGCCTACTAACTGGCCTGGTTTAAGAAAAATATATTTTCCAAATATCCATCGAAAATAATACAACAAAAACCGCAGAAATTCCCACTATTCGACAAGATTTACATGAAGTGAACTGTGTTGCAAACAACTTTCTGAAACTCGGTTAAACCGATTTAATAACATTGCACTATTAAAACTTTATCCCATCGCCTAATAATATGACTATTCTGCGGGAATCGGAAGCCCTCATTCAAATAAATGGGTTTATTGTGGGGCTGTGGAAGTTTGCAAAGTCGCAAATTGAGAAACTCCCAGCCGCTAATTAGATTGAAAGTTTGCTGCAAATTAATTGTTAGCTCGAAAGTTATTAGGCAACTTCTTCAGCAACACACTTTTAGTCAAGTCAGTTTCACACCATGTGATTATGTGTTAGATTCGATCCATCAAAACACTAACCTGCAGATAAGTGGGGAACTGAAAACATAATAAATCAATCAGGAAGTCTGAAGAGAAAATGTAAATTTCGTATGCACAAGTAGGTGGAAATTTAACGCGAATACTTTGAGACGTACACATCGGGAAATTTCCACCTGCTTTGAATCAAGACGCGTTTTTAGGTTCGAACTTACCGTTAGCTCAATATTTTTGGCCAAAGTGGACTCTGCAATATTAGCAAACGGTTTGTCAGCTCCCCAACATTCAACGTATTTCGTCATTTTGCTTGATGGTCTTGCTCTGGATGGAGGTCCACTCGGCGTGGCCATTCCCTGAACAGCGCTGTCTCCAATGCTGTTATTTCGCTCCGCATTCTTCGGGGTGGCATTCAAGTTGCCATTTTGCTGCTCTTGCTCGGGCTTCTGAAACAGCATCATTTTATGCGACTTGAATAAAAACGTAGCAGATACGATTTCTGCCAAAACAGCCCATGACCTGAGACCTGAATTGACTCGAAAAATTCCTATCTAATTTTCAAAAATTGACCAAAAATCAACAGAAAGTCATAGCAGTTGGCACACACAGTAAAAACAATGTTTTAGCTGTTTCAGCTTTTAAATAATAGTTGGCTATGTGTAGTGGTCCAAAGAAGCAAATTTGCAACCCATAAAGTTTTTATGGTTTTTTAGTTTAAAAAAAAATTCCTCATATAGAGAATCTAAATGAAACTTCTAAGTCATAAAACTATATGGTAAAGAGTGGCAGTGTTTTCTCTAACTGGAGTTATGGGCACCTGCTTATATTTACTAAATTGGCCAGAAATTGAGCAAGAGTCTGCAAACTGTGCCAATCAGGAAAGGCAATTTCGACCGACACTTTCAAAAAATCGTCAAAAATCGCTGAACCACCAGATTAAAATGAAACATTCCCATTTTATAGATCGTGTTTATTTCAATTGAATAACTGAAAATGCCGTGCTGTAACTGAATGTGTTTCAAAGCAATTAATTCTTTAGTAGGAGGCGCTCCCATTCATGGGAGCTAATATCCAAACGGTATTTTCACAAATTTGCCGTAAATGACTGGATCAAGAGCTCAATGAATCAAAAATTTTGAGCCTCATGGATCTATTTACATTAGTTCTATCGAATAATGACACAAAAAATCAGTTTCAAGAAAAACTTCTTCAGGAATTGACACTATACACAAATATATGATGATGACATGATACACATCATAATCAGTATCAACAACGTTTCCAACTAAAAAGTGAAGAAAGAAAAAAAGTGTTTGCCGTTTTTAGTTTGAATTTCCCAAAGTCGGTATGGATTCGCAGAAAGTTTCCAATTTGGATCATCATGAGGGATTAAACTAGCCAAAAATCTTCCAAAAATTATTTCTTCTTCAAAAGTAGTTTTTCTCGATCAAATAACGTCTAAAAAACTTTCTACCTTACTGTTTTAGCGAAATATTATATTGCAGAAATTAATAGTTAAAGAAAATTGTGCAAAATGTGGCAAATCAGAAAAAAGTAAATAAAATGAAATTTTAGAAAATTCGTAAAAATTACGCAAAAGTCAATACAATTCGTTTCACCTCCTGAAGACTATTTTTTTTTATTGCGTTACGCAAATCATACATTTCGACTGTTTGAAATTTTGAGAGAAATGAATATCCAACTCGAAATGCTTAAATTATTTAAATTCGTGGAGACCGACATTCAACGGGATTTTCAAGAATTTGTCACAATTCACTTAGAAATTGAATTAATATGAAACTTTTAGGCCTGATTTTTTCAAGTTATACGCATCAACTGCATTATATATTTTCAAGCGGCTGGCATTGACGACGAATTAATTATTCATTGAGTCCTTCCGAAACCTTTAATATAATTTCCATGTTTTTTCAAAAAATGATCGAAAAATTCGGGTGAAAACGAAGCTCGCATTTTCTGAAGAGAAGAGGGTTCTCTAAGGAATAAGAGAAATATGAAATAAAATTGTTAGCTGATGGCATTTCTGTCAAGAAGAAATAGTACTAGAAAGCTGCCAACAAAAAGTTGAAAATTTTTCAAACTTCACCCAACAACTGGATTAAAACAAAACTATCACAGATTAAAACAAAAAATGATTTAATTTGACAAAATGAGGCAACGAAAAGGTTTTTACCTTTAACTATTTGAAAGAAATTGTTTCTTTATTAGAAGCGTGTCGAAATGCATTTTGCAATATCTCAAAAGCAGTGAAAATCGGATTCCAAACTAAACTCACATATTCTAAAGGAATCTAATTTATTTAGCTCGCATACATTGAAAGACATTTTTAAATACACATCTGCAACATTTTCCGATGAAAATAGGCAGAGGCGCACCCAAATGTTAAAAAAATCATCAACGCTCACTCAAGATAGATAAAATTCATAGATGAAATGTATCTTTAAGGAATGGGTTCAGTTTTGCAATGTATTTTTCACATTTTCTATAATATTTTTTTGTGATTACTAAATAATTAAAATAACAAGAGCGCACGTTGACTTTCTACAAAAATATCTTCATGGTCTAAGTGTGTTTCTCCATCATCTTCAGATTGGTACAAGATTCTAGCAATTCAAGAAGCAAAAATTTAAATAATCTAAATCTACCTGAAAAGAGTCTCTTCGTCTGATCTTAACTTCACCTTCATTTTCAAATTTATCGCGGAAATAATTTCTAGCAAATCTGCTTCAGCTCACCCATTTGTCTTTTTTTCTGTGTCTTGAATATCTTGTTCAGGCATGGATTAATCCAAAAAATGGTTAATATTTTGTGCAGTACCATGGTGAAAACGTTTCCCTTCAATAACACCAATTTCTTTTCTACTGCTTCGATGAAATTCACAGTTTCAATTGTTTTGCGGCCATATTTTTGCCCAGTTTTGAGGAGAAGCAGAAACAGTTTTGACTGCTTCTGCTTCTACTCAAAACTCCCACAATAGAAAATTCGTTGATTTGATATATTTATGCAAATGGTTTTAAAAGTAATCACAATTCCTTGATGTTATGGTTTGCATTTGGAAAAACAGGGAAAAGACTGTGTGAAAAGATGCCAACTTTTGTCATGCTAGAGGATCTGTTCTGCTCTTAGAAATGAGCTAAGAAAGGCGGTCTATTTTTAGAGTGCCAGTGGTAAGTACAAGCTCACAATTTATTGCTCACTTTTCTCAGGCAAGATACATAAGTGAGTCAATATGTCTGCTCTAGTACTGAAACGAATACAACTGTACAATAAAAAATTTTGACCAAAAATTCAGGTTTCAACTATGTAATATTCACAATTATGGCAGTTTCCATCGGTACTTATGTTCCGTAAATGAAATTTTTTGATGTGAGTTCAATATTTCCACCTTTCTCCTCCGCTTTTTTCCTAATTACACCATTCAGCAGCAGGAGTTTGCAAAATTCCAGAAAATGTGCCAGCAGGAATAAAATTAAAAGTAGAAATCAAGGAAATTGAGACTTTAACACATTCTGCCTACTCAGTCGACATTTCAAGTATATTTTCACAAATTTTCATTGATTCTTAGAGGTAGTCAGAGTATCTTTTATAAAAAATTGCCTGATTCATGAAACTCTTATGGATTTCAGGTAGTTCAGTTTTCTGATTGCTTGTACTTCTGAATGGATGCTTCTGATTAGTTGAAAATATTTTACTTGTAAGACAAAATAGCCCTGCAGTTGAGTTGAAGCCCTGCTTGTTGAGCTACAGGGTGCTATTAAAATATACTTTTATTTTTTATTTTTCTAAGCAATTTTTGGTACAATTTCAAGGTTGGGCGCAACTTGGCTTTCGAAGAAACTTCATATTGGTTTGACCCTTGCATGTAGAGAGCGCTACCAAAGTGTATATCTCTTATTAGATGAATTATAACTTTTTCGCCCATGTATCTATTCAATTTTGGGTCCCAACCTCGGTTTCTCCATAATTTGTATATGAAAAACGTATCGTAGCGAAAAGTGGTGATGTACAACAGTTTTCGATATATTTTGATTTAAAATAATCGACACATGCGGTCTTCAAAAAGTTGAACTATATGAAAAAATATGATTCAGCTATGCACAAAGAAATTTGGACTTTGTAAAATAGAAGAAACCATGTAGGTCCTCCCTCCACACTAGCAAGCAAAATCAACATCAAATTAAGTTTTTTTTGGGTGCTTCAGTCTCCCAAATACCAAGTTTCGTCCAAATATTAAAATTACTTCAAAAATTACTTAGGAAAAACTAAAATTTAAATAAATTTCAAAATCAAAAGAACCGTCGAGCAAACGATAGATCAAACGCACACGAAATTATCATAAATAAATTAAGAAATAAAAACTAAAAATGATTACAATAAACAGTCGCACATTTTTTTACAGTCCAAACTCACAAAACTGCAAATCGTCTCCCACTTAGCCAACTCTAACTCCTTTAACTGTGAAGTTTCCTTCACAATGCATGAAAAAACACTCGCCCTGTACCGCACGGAAATCGTATAAAAAATCAAATAACTTCGAATAACCGGGTTTGCTTGAACTCAGAAACAAATCGGAATTGGCATAAAACATTTGGCGATGGCGTGCGTTTGATTGTGACACCAAAACTCATAAATTTCCCAATTTTCCAGCCCACTGAACGTCGGATATAAATCGGGCTTATTTGCATGCTCCCCAACCTAAGTCGAAAATTCACAATTTTCTAGCCGTTGAAGCCTTGAATGGATCTCTTTGAAATTGCAATAATACTAGCCCATAGGCAGCGAACATAAACGCTTCGAATGTCCGCAGAGCAATATTTGTCTTCGCCACAGAAATAAACGTTCTACTTGTCCAAGACAAAACGCGCTTGAGGGTTTTAGAAGCACATTAATTGAAAGTAAACAGTCTGCAAAACCTGCAAGGCTGTTTATATACCATTAGCCGCATGTTGTGGGCGTCTCAATTGTCTGGAAACAGCAAACTTGAACTTACCTTAGGTGGGATTATTAGGTAAGTCTCAATCTTGTGGTCGGCTAAGTACCCTTCTCGACTGGCCCCATTTCCCGGCTCAACCTCAAATCGATCCCCCAGCTGGATTAGAGTCGCTTTTGTGATGTGGACGCGGCTGCAGGAATTGAAAAAAACAGATTTTTAATTTTTCCATTTCAGTCCCCTAATGGCTTTGCTTGTCCACATTTGGATTTCAGCAGGAGGCGATGATTCAGTGCGAAAATAAAGCGATGGTCAATTTAACTTTAAGCGATGTTTGCTCGGGTCAATGGGATATTTGCCCGGTAAGTCCCATGATTTATGCCTGGTAATTTCCGTTTCCCTGCTGAAGCAGGAAAACAATGGAAAATACGAAAATACTTGGAAAAAATACTCCGATGCTGTTTACAGTATTTTAAAGCCGTGTTGTGGACTAATTCCCAAGTTGGGTGAAAATCGTTTCAATTCTTTCTTGGTCAGATTTGGAATAATCGTTCATTCAAGTAGCAAATTTTACTAAAAAACTTGTTAACTTTATTTTTCACAAAAACCGAAGAAAGCGACTTCTTGACTGGTTTTCCCATTCTTGGGGTTTTAGAGAAATTAGGTGTTAAAACACGTATTTCCAAATCGGTCATGCGGCAAATTTAAAAAATTTATCAAAATCTCCCTGAAGCTTGTCCATGCGCGAAACTTTCTCAACGTTTCTATTCTCTTTTAGGCTTCTAAGCGCCCTAAAAATCCGTCTTCTATATTATTTTGTTTTCAACAGATTCAGTCTCGAAGATTCTATCAATAAATCGGCTTTAAAACGTGCAAGAAATTTCAAAGAATTTTCAAAATCTGCTTGATGATGGTGCGAATCTGAAGCCCCTTCTTTTTTCTACCCAAAAACTTTCCTCGCCAAAGTCTTATGGAGCGCGGCATTGAATCTTGCCGTGATTCGGAAAAAATTACTGTTGAAAATTCCATTGCAAAACCGACCTTTAAACGTAGAGTGAGTTTCAGAAAATGTTACTCATGAAAGCTGAAAGTTTCTCTCTGTTTCAGTCCTACTTTGGTGTTTAAAGAGCTAAAGGACGCAACTTTCAAAAAATATCTGCACAACAATAATAAATTTTCCGAATTATTTCAAAAACTGAAACTTTCTGCTAGTTTCCACTTATCAACTGGTCTTCACAGTGTGATGGAACGCGTATCTTAATATGGTTCAGCTTGAGAAAAATTGATTGTTAAAGACGCAATAGCGAAATCCACTTTAAAACAAACAAATAATTTCAGAAAATGTTCAAACACTGCTTGATGACGGCTCAAAGCTGTAAATTTCCCCATATTTGAGCCAAAGCGTTATCTTTAAAGTGCGATCGAACCAACCCTCAACCGGTTCCGGAGAAATTCATCGTTGAAGAAGCTTTTGCGAAATCTGCCTTAAAACAGGGATTTCCAGAAACACTTCAAAAGCTGCCTGATCATGGGCCAACGCTGAAACTTTTTCAACGTTTCTACCCATGTCCGTTCTTTTTGGAGACAGACTTTTGAACTCACAGTGAGTTTTTCCTTTGGAAAACCAGCTGGGTAATAATGGTGCCAAGCTGAAACTTTCAATACGTTTCAACCCACCATTCCTCCTCGAAGTGTTATAGAATGTGCTTTTGGATGCCTTTTTTCTCCAACATTCAATTTTTTTCCGAAAGCTAGTTGATGATGGTTAAAAGCTGAAACTTTCCAAGCATTTTTACCCAACTTTCCTCTTGAAAGCTTTATCGAAAAATATTGCAAGCCCGCCGCAGTTTCCCAGGAATTCAGTCGCAGAAACTTTTGCAAAATCCACCTTTAAACATGCGCTGAATTTAGAGATTTTAAAAAGACTGCTTGATGGTGTAAAGATGAAACTTTCACCCAGTTTTTGCCCAGCCTTCTTCTTCAAAGTGTCACTTCATATCGCGTGCGGTTTTGGAGAAATTAAAGATGCAAGACTTCTGCAAAATCGACTGAAAGATGTTATATTTTTTTTGGAGAAATCTTTGCTTATGGTGCAAAGGCGAAAGTTTCACCACGTTTTGAACCAACCTTCCTCTTCAAAGTGCAACTTAAAGCTGCCTCAAATATCTTTGGTTTCTGAGAAAGTAAGTGTCAACTGAACTTTTGCAAAGTTTCTTCCGAGCAAGAAGAAAATTTTTGCAATTTTAACAAAACTGTTGTTGATGATGTAAAGACGATAGTTTTTCCACGTTTCTACACAGTTGTCCTCTTCAAGGTGCCATTTAAACATACTTCAAATATCTTGGGTTACCGAGAAATTAAAGGTCAAAGGAACTTCTGCAAAATTTCTTCGGAACAAGCAGAAAATTTTGGGAATTTGTAAAATATTTTGTGTCAATGGCTTAAAGTCGAAAGTTTTGCCAGATTTCGACCCGACTGTTCTCTTCAAAGTGTCATTTAAACCTGCTTCAAATATCTTCGGTTACTGAGAAATTGAATATCTAAAGAACGTTTGCAACATTTCTTCAGTACAAAATTTCTTTGGAAGATCCAATGAATTTTTACTAATTTTTTAAATACTAGCTGTTGATGGAGTGAAGCCAAAAGTTTTGCCACGTTTCGAGCCAATCGTCTTCTTCAAACTCATTTAAAGATACTTCAAATGTCTCGGGTTTCCGAGAACTGAAAGGTCAAACGAACTTCTGCAAAATTGCTTCGGAACAAGCAGTAAATTTTAGGAATTGGTAAAAAATTGTGTGTCAGTGCCTTCAATGCGAAAGTTTTACCAGATTTCGACTCGACTGTTCTCTTCAAGGTGTCATTTAATCCTACTTCAAATATCTTGGGTTTTTGACTAATTAAATGGCAAATTTGTAAAAAAATGTACGCCGATGGTTTGAAGGTGAAACTTTGAAAAATGTAATTTAAACGTGCTTCAAATATCTTTGGTTTCTGATAAATTAAATGTGTAAGGAACTTTTTCAAAATTTCTTCACACAAGCAGTAAGTTTTAAGAATTGTTAAAATACTGTCCGTCAATGGTTTAAAGACGAAAGTTTTACCTCGTTTCGACCCAACTATCCTCATCAGAGTGCCAGTTAAACCGACTTCAAATATCTTTGGTTTCTGAGAAATTAAACGTCAAACAAACTTTTGCTAATGTTGTTCGGAAATGCAGTGAATTTTAGGTTTTTTTCATTACTGTCTGTTGACCGCAAAATGACAAAAGTTTTGGCACGTTTCGACCCAATCGCCCTCTTCAACGTGTCATTTAAAGATACTTCAAATAACTACGGTTTCCAAGAAATTAAATGCAAAAGGAACTTTTGCAAAATTTCCTATAATGCACTGAATTTTAGGAATGGCATAGAATTTTTTGCAAAATCGACCTTATGCGAGCCAGATTTTTCAAAACTTTATTTATGATGGTGAATAGCGAAACTTTCACCAGGTTTTGACTCAACCGTTCGCATCAAAGTGCCGAGAAACGCTACCATAAATCACCCGCGATTTCGGACATTTAACGTTAAAAAACTCATGGTATCTCGAATTGGGGACATTTTTGTAAAGTCTCCTTGATAAGGGTTTAAATTTCAAAGTTTTATGGCGCTTTAACGCAACCGTTCTCTTAGGAGCGGAGCTGAGTTCAACGCAAGTTAAAAAATATTTGCTTTTTGAGAAATTTAATTTCCAAGAATCTTGTGCGACCTTTGAGCAAGCAGTGAATTTCAAGTTAGTTTGAGAACGCTGAAATGATGCTGATGAAGAGCTGTAATTTTCACCCAGTTTCTGCCCACCGTCCTTTTCAAAGTGCTAAAGAATGCTACTTGAAATCATCCACGGTTTGGGAGCATTTAAGTACCAGAAGGAATTTTGCAAGATCGATCTTGGAACATGCAGGGAATTTGAGGCATTTGAAGAATCCCTCGCTCAAAATACCACCAAAACAAAATACAATTTCGACCATACGAAAATGCAATGAATTTCCGGGTTTTACCAAATGATTTGACCACGTTTCCAGTGCCAGAGAAGGATACTTTAAATTCCCCATGGTTTCGGAGAAAGTTAATGTTTAAGACACTTGTGCCAAATCGGTGTCTGAACATGAAATTATTCAACAGCCTCCCTTAAAATGGTTGACAGTGAAATTCACAAATTTTGAATTCCTCAATACTCCCTGAAATGGGATTTACCTCGTTTGGTCAAAGATAAATTGATTATCAACAACCGCTTCCTTATACAATATTTCTTCAGCGGACGAATTTTTCAAGCCGTCTCAGCCCTGGTTTTACTGCGGAAAATGCAATTTTCTAACACGCTTGATTCTCTACAAATCACGCCTCATTCTCGCCTGCAGAACTTTACGCATATTTTGAAAATTGAATAGAAACCCCTCAATTCCCAGCCGTTCCAATTTGCAAAGTTGCCAACAATAGCACGCCGAATGCCAAACACTGTTCTTTGCATCATTCCCAAGTTCTGACTACACGATATTGATATTTCGACGTCGAGCAAGCAAACAGACAATTTACATCAACTGTTTCCCCATTCCTTTGTCGCTGTTGCAGTCGCAAATAAACAAGTTTCGGCAAAACGAACAAATATCCAGTCTGAGTGCATCAAGCAACCCACTCATGAAGAGATAACAAATGAAGGAAATGTTGCACGAATGTGGGCAGTTGCAGGCATTCAAAATGAAATCATTTAAAGCAGAAAACACAAAATCCATCACATTTGCCTAAGAACAACGACTCTAACCCGCAATTATGCGAAAAGCAGGATCGCCGATGCGTTATCAATTATAAGGGCTGAATGGGGGTCAATTTAAACCATCAAAGAGCCGAGTTAATCGAATTTATCTAGGCTGGCAGTTATTGGGCGGCAGAGTGAAACCAGCCCACAACTTTTGTTGTTTATTTCTGGATTTTTGCCAAAGCCCATGTGCCTGTGCAATTAGTGCAGGGTTTATCGGCCAATTCCGGTTTAATTGAAATCGACAAGTAATTAGCACAGTAAATGAGATTTGCACAGAAGGTGCTTGCATTTTTCTTATTTTAAAACGGTTTTTGCGTCAGTCACTGATTTTTCTTTCAACATTTTTGTCTTTTACTCACCCGGCAATTCCGCCACTTTCCATGTGATTCGCCAAAGTAACATCGTCGCTCCACACATCAAACTGCCACTTTCGCAGCCCCAAAACTCCACAGAGTACATTTCCGGTGTGGATTCCGATCCGCATATCCACATTGAAGCCGGTGGCTTCACGCACAAACCTTCAACAGTAAGACAAGATTTGTTTTTGATTTTTTTCGGGCTTACGTCTTTTCTGCAAACAGTGTCAAAAGAAGACACTGATGATTGCTTTTCGCGCGTTGAAGGCCGGTAGTTGCCCAACTGGAAAATGATCAGATTGGGCCCTTTCAAAGACGGCAAAATAGAGCGAATAGATAGATTGTTCGACGACAAAGTGGTTGAAATTGATGTTTAGTTTCAAGGGGCTCTTTGTAGGTTGCGACTCGTCGCGCTGTTGATTTAAGCAGGAAAAATGAAACTTTGACAAACTCTAATAAATTGGAACGGAATTTTCGAGAATGGAGATTTAGTGACCCTTTGGTCTTTGCGCCAAATGGATTTATTGATTGATTCTGAATTGCTGGGTTGTTCAGTGCGTGGTTTGTGTAGCTGCACAGAAGAATCCGTAAACTATTTTAAGCAAGTAAGTTTAGTAAGAAAACACCAGAAACTTTAAAAAAGCCCAGCAATTTTTGCTTAAAGTTCGCTTTCAGTCCCGAATGGAGTTTGCGAAGTTTCCAAGTCTCCAGTACAACAACTTTCCTATTCAAAAACGCTTCAGCTTGGATTTTTTTAAAGAAAATTGACTGTCGCAGACCTCCATTATTTGCTCGTTTCGTTTCCGACTTACGCGTCTTCAAGCTGTTTCATTGGTTGCATATTTTCAGGATGAACTAAATTATGCTTTAAAAGTGGAAAAATTCGTGTCACTTCCAGAACTGTTCTCAAAAAGCCTCAATTTCGCTCACACTTGTTTTGGGTGCTCGTCAACTCTTTTGAGAAAATTCGCTGACATGTTTTTGCAAAAATATTGCGCTTTAGGCAAATTTGTCTTATCAGAAAATGTAAATAAAATTTTCCTTTTTTTCCTAATAGATTCTTAACCAGTTTAAATATTACCAAACAAATTGTTTTCAGTGTTTCTTAGATCGAGAAATCCACATTTTTTATTCTCCAGCTTGTGGTTCCTAACGGGTAAAGGCTGCAACAGTCTTTTAAAACAGTAGACAATTTTTCCGTTTTAAAATACGGCTTTGCTGTTGTTCACCGATAATTCCTGAACAAAAAATGTATCTTGCTGCTCAACAAACTGGAATTTACACGAACAAATTTGACTAGTTTGGACCCGAATCAATTCTGATTTTGAATCGTTTTTTAGTCCAAATCTTTTAAAATGAGCCGGTCTGGGGCAATTAAATAGTGCTTCAGGTAAAGTTACTACAGGGTGGCGTCTGAAACATTGCAAAATTGGCGAAAGATCCACATGCTCTTCGTTGGGCAAAAAAAGTCTGCCTCACTTCATACTACGAAAAAGTTATTGAATTTTTCGCTCATTTCACGTATGTAAATCTGAGATTTTATATCAAACAACGGCATTCTTTGTCCACTGTGTAGAATCCGTGGGGTTTTTCGGGCAACCTCCGATCTGAAGCTTTTGTAAAACTCTTCTAGGTTGTGCGGTCGATTGTCCCAGTTGGTGCCTCATCCTGTTGAAAGAACAGGTTATTTCTATTTGGGAAGTTTCCAAGGGAAAAGGAAGTAGCTGTAAGCATTAAGAACGTGCTTCATGAAGAAAACACAGAAGCGCAGAGAAATTCTCATCAACTACTTACGAGATGAGACTCAAACAAGCACGTACTTCCGCCATAAACTTTAACACAAGCTTACCTTCCACGGAAGCAAAGATGAAGCTTCTTGTTAACGTTAGCGTTAACCCACACGTTAACGAATAGAGCCTTGAGCCCGGCAGAAAATTTGCTCTTCAAGCAACCCCAAGAAAGTCAAACAGGTTTAAGTCTGGGGATCTTAGTGGCTAAATCTATCGTCGTTGTTCTCTCACTATATTTACCTGAAAAGGCGCTCTTCAAATTGCAGTAATTGAGCAATGAAGGTGTCTCATGTTCCAAAAAATGTTTCCAGTATAAATGAAAGTATTTACAGGATTTTTGAACGTGTTTAATGAAGAAAACATAGAAAGGAGAAGAGATGCTCGTCCACGACTTACAACGAGCTAAGACTCAATCGAACACGTACTTCCGAGATAAGCTGCAACACAAGAGGAACTTCCAGGGAAGCAAAGGTGCAGCGTTCAAGGGAACCTTCACACTAGCGAATATAGCCATCAGACCAGAAGATATAGACCAAAAAGCAAGAGAGAAAATGTTAGATTACTTAATTCAGCAAATGGAGGACTAGATGGCTTCTATGTCATAAAATCCAGAACGAGAAACCCAATAAAAGCAGACCAACCTTGCAAATCTGTAGCCAAGTTCAATATTCAGTCGCCAAATAAAGACGACTCACCTGATTTATATCAAAGACGTCTGAGGCTACAGACAAGGAATGGGGCATTGAAGGTGTTAATAGAGAACATTAGTAAAGAGGCCAAAACTGGAAGAAAGAACAGTTAAATGGACGACACGTCGGTGTAAATAAAACTATCAGACATTAAACACGAAGGAAATAATTGAATTCGAAAAATAAAGCATCGAAAACATTGGTACAGAAGGGAAAACTAACCAGTAAAACACAACAAAACAGTACACAGACAGTAAAAAAGCGAGAGGACAAAATAGACATTGAAGAAAACGCACTGCTGCCATTGGTAGGAAAGATGAGCAAAGTGAAACCCCTGAAAATTGAAGCTCCAGAACCGACCAAAACACCTAGAGAATGGCGATGAACGAAAAATATGGAGGAGGAAACTTAACAGAATGGCTAAGCAACCGAACTAGAAGAATAAAGTTTGAGGGCATATTAGACTGTTTAAAAGAGGAAAAATATCCGGTAAAACCTCCGGGAATAGGGATATGTATATATATCCAACATGTCCATGAAGCTGTTTAGTCCCAACCACAGTTGAAGTCAGTGGCGTGTTGAAGTCAGTGAAATGCTAAAGGCGAGTTGTTTGATGAAAAAATTGATTGATTTTAATACCAATTTGTTTTCTGGGTTTCAGTCATTTATCATTTATTATTTTATTCCTCAGAATACGTTTCGTGTTTTTCTTTCCACCATCATCAGGTGGAAAGCAAATTGGAATGGAATTTACAAATGAGGCACAAAATAGGTGGTTTTATTTGAAAATATACAGCTGATGCGCGTGCTTTATTTTTTGGTCGCTATATACAGTGTGTTACAGATTCCGGGTGTTATTAGGACAGAGATGCTCATTTTAAAGCTGAACAAAATGGTGTTTCAAAGTTGGAGTTTCGGCTCTTTGATAGTTGGATGAAAATTGGTATTTTTTATCTTAAATTCAAAGGGCTAAAAACGAACCAAATAGCTCAAGACAGTTTTCAATTTTTTTGGCGATCTCTTCTATTTCCAGAGTGCTCAAAAAAGTCGACTTTTTGGTGTTGCAGTGGTAACCTTTCTCTTCTTGGGCCGATTTTCACGATCTAGACCTCAGCTTGAAGCTAAAACTTCCCAGGCAATCCAAGACAATAATTGGATATAAGGGGTTGCGTAAAAAGTGAGCCAAAGCAGAAATGCCCTGAAATCTATGACTCTGGTACATTTTGAACTAAAGTGAAGTTCGCTTTCAAACATTCAAATATTTCGTTCATTCATGCAAATCGGTATTCAACATGAGCATTAAATTTTGAAAATCGGTCCAAGAGAAAAAATTATCACTTCAGACGAAAAGTTGACTTTTTAGATCACCCTGTAAAAAAGAGAAATGGGCGAAAAGTTCAATAACTTTTTCGAAGTTTGAAGTTTACCATAATTGCTGTGCTATTGAAATAAAAGAAAACATTTTTTTGCYCAACAAAGAGCATGTGSATCTTTCGCCAATTTTGAAAWGTTTCATGTGCCACCCTGTAGAAACTTTATCTGAAGTACTATTTTATTGCCACCAAAMGGCACTAATTTTAAAAKATTTGGCTGAAAAACGATTCAAAATCAGAATTTATTCGGGTCCAAAACTAGCCAAATTTGTTCGTGTAAATTCCAGTTTGTTGAGCAGTTKGGTTTAAAAAATCGCTAGAGGTTTCAATGTGAAATATCTCTAAAATGGTGAAAGATATCGACTTGAACCAAGACACATTTTTTGTTTAGGAATTATCAGTGAACAACCGTAAAGCCGTATTTTAAAACYCAAAAASTGTCTACTGTTTTAAAAGGYCCCAGACTATTGCAGCCAGCACCCRTTASRAACTGCAAGCTAGAGAATAAAAAAWGTGGATTATTCGATCTAAARAACATTRAAAACWATTTTTTTGGTAATATTTAAACTGGTYAWGWRTCYATTAAGAAAAAACGAAAATTTWATTTACATTTTYGGATAAGACAAATTTGCCTAAAMYGCAATATTTTTGTCTAAACATGTCAGCGAATTTTCTCAAAAGAGTTGACGAGCACCCAAAACGAGTGTGRGYAAAATTGAWGCTTTTTTAGAMTAGTTCTGGRAGTGACAAAAAWRTTTTCACTTTTWAAGCATAATWYTGTWCATCCTGAAAATGTGCAACCWATSAAACAGCTTGWAGACGCGTAAGTCCGAAACGAAACKAGCARATAATGGAGATCTGCGACAGTCAATTTTCTATWAAAAAAAATCCAAACTGAAGCGTTTTTGAASAGGAAAGWTGATGCTTTTGMGACTTGGAAAATTCACAAATTCYATWCGGGACTGAAAGCGAACTTTGAGCAAAAATTYCTGCGCTTTATTCACTTTTCTGGTGTTTTCTCACTAAACTTACTTAAAAGAGTTTYGCCGAAACGTATTCCGAAGAATGAARTAAACTGTAATAGCTAAGTAAATAAATGACTGAAACCCAGGGAGCTAATTTGTATGAAAATTGAAGTACAGTCAGGAAAAGTAACATGATGAAAGTTGATAAAACCTGCGAGGGCGAGTTATATGGCTTCGGTTCAAACTGTTACTTCATGCGACCTTCCACAAATTGCTGCAAATTTCTTCTAATGGACTATTTTTTACCTTCGACAGCTTCACTAAAACTCTCAAAATAGAGTCGAGCTGCTTGCCATAGAAAAACACCTGCGGTTACCGAAGTTTCTCATGTATTTAGAAGATTGGACCTAGAGTGTCCAGAAAAAACGGAAACTTTATGCATGTTCGACATTGCTTTGCATTCTAAGTTTCAAATTTTTAAGTGATGGAAAACCAAAAACAGGGACGAAGTAACTTATCAGGATGAGCGAAAAAAATTGAGCAAACATTTGAAGCAATCACCCAAAAAGCTAATGTTGTAATGGACAGTTTTCCAAATAATTGGTACCAGCAACAGCAAACACAATATTTGCCTCAACCGCCAGCACATTCAGAAAATAAATTTTGCTAGTTTCATTTATGAAGCCCTGGTGGGTTTTACATGCCGCTGCTCTTAAATCAGTCAAAACGTCGAGTAGCAAACATGTAGAGAGTGAAGACTTGAGATATGGACTAAAATGAAATGGATATGAATAAAAATGGACACAAATTGATTGAAAAATTAATTCGAGCTAACACATTTATGGAGCTGAAGATGCGACAATGGATTCTAGGTTTCGCATCGCGCTAATGGAAATTAACCGCCCTGGCTGGACAGTGGAATCCAATTACCACTTGTCCATTAGACAACGTCCATTGGAGCGAGAAGTCGCCAATTTACCTGATCGCCTCGATCATCTGAAGGCCCATGTTAACGCAATTATAGGCGTGGTTCGGTCTGGAAATTGGAAGTCCGGATACACAGTAATAACAATCGCCCAGGATTTTTATCCGCATGCACTGGTTGTCCTGGAAAATAAGAAAAAAACGACACTATCAAAATGTTAATGGAACGAGAAACGGTCAGTTGAATAATCGTCATTTTTAGCCGCTACCGGAGCAAACTTGAACGCTTACATGAAGAATCCAAGAGGTAAATTATATCAGTTCTATACATATAGTTAGGGCGGCCTCATCTTTAAAAAGCCGTTTTTTGGGGTATTGCTGAGTATTTTGCTTAAAAATGTTTGCCTTAAAAAACAGAATTCCTTCACGTTTTCCAACTACACACAGAAAATCGTTGTGAGCATTCGTTTGTTCACAAATTGTAAATGTTTACTTTGACTTAAATATTATTGCATAAAATCAGTTAATAATTTAAAGTTAGATTTAATGCGGCTGTTTGTCTCTTCAGTCTGTTTCAGACTTTGAAATGAACATGAGACAACACAATGGTCATGGTTAAGTAAAACAGATGCACTTTTTTTTTAATTCTATTTGCTTCTTGATGTTTTTCCTGTATAAAATTTACCACATTGGCAAGAAATTTTTTAAAATACGGTTTCGATTTTTCCAATTTTGCACGAGGTTTTGTATTTGTTGTTTTTTTTTTTCTTTCGTGTGTCTCCTACAATAGCTTAGTTTTCATTGCACCTTCTAACACTCAAACGTTCAATTCCCATGGTCATCGGCTCCTCTTTGAAGAGCAATCTTGCTGGAAGGATAACATCCTTCCGCTCCATTCGTACACTTTCAGTGGAACCAACATTCGAAAGTTGGCGTGCTGTGCCAACAATTTTGCTGACTAATTTGTTTCATCTTAACAAGTTATCGGGGTTTTTAGCAGCTTAACTGGTGAGTCCTTTGACCTCAAAAGCGCTTTGCAAAGTTTGCCATACGCCCTTTGCATCAGTGGCACTTTCCACTGGAACGTAGTTACTTGGTTTAATAAACAGACAGTTTTGCTTCTGCTTTTGCATAACACAAGAGAGCCTCTATCACTCATACTCACAGATTGGCTTCTTACATATGCTGCAACAGACTGAAACTTTTCGCAGAAAACTGGATGTAGTTTTTGATCCTACTACTGGATGATTAGTTTGTTACTCTTTATTTGATTCGTCATTCCTTTTATATAAGTGTACAAAAGCTCCAAATTTTATTGCCCCACATGTACGAGGAGGGATTTTTTAAAATACAGCCATGCACTCTGGGGTTAGACTTTTGGCTTAGCGAAAGTTGAAGAATCTCTAGAAATTTTGCGCAACATCGAAATCAGCTGAAGTTTTCTAAATGTGGGAAGCAAAGCTTTTGTTCGAAGTGTCCAAAAGTTCAAGATTCCATCGCCTAGGGTTTATGAGCTGGGATCTTCGAAATAGAGACATGCACTTTTGGGGCACATGTCTGAATTAGTGAGAATTGTAAATATTCTAGAAAGTCGGTGCGTTATTCAATTTAGCTGCAGCTTCGCCCACTTATGAACAAAGCCATTGTCTCTCTATCAGTCAAGAAGTTTAAATTCCTGCACATTCAGTTAGCTAGTTGTTCATTTTTTAAATACAGACATGCACTCTAGGAATACACTTATTACTTGAGGAAAGTTGAAGAATCCCTATAAAATTTGTACGACATCGAAATCAGCTGAGGTTTTGGAAATCCGTGAACCAACGCTCCTGTTCTAAGAGTCCAAAAGTTCATGACTCCTTCGCCTCGGGTTTATGGACTGGGATTTTCGAAATACAGGCATACACTTTTGGGCCACATTTCTGACTTACTGAGAATTTTAAATATTCTAGAAAGTCAGCGCGTCTTTCAATATAGCTGCAGTTTCGATCACTTATGACCAAAGGCCTTGTCTCTCTAACAGTCTAGAATATTTAGTTCCTTCGCCTCCAGTTAGCGAGTCTGCTACCTGGAATGTGAGATCATACAATAACAAAGACCAAGAAATCTTAAAAGAACTCTCAGATAGCAAGATCGATATGTGGGCCGTACAGGAAGCGAAGATTAAAGAAAGTTGCCAAAAGAAATACGTAGAATATATTATGGTCTACAGCGGAGTTGAGAAGCAGGAAAGAGCAAGAGAGGGTGTGCGTGCAATCAGCACGAAATACCAAAATTATATAAAGGAATGCAACTTTATCAGCCCACGCATTACAGCTGTAACACTAAAGTCAGACGACCAAACAATAAATGTACTATCAATATAAGCACCAGAAGGCAACAGACCAGAACTCCTGAGAGACTCGTTTTTTGATCAACTCCAAACCACAATTGACTCACTACCAAGTGACCAACCCATGATAGTGGTTGGGGACTTTAATGCACGAGTTTAAAACGGAAAGAACCCCAGTATAAATTTACATTTGCAAATAAGAGAGGCCATACATCGACAATCGATTACATTGTGACTAATAGGCAATTTCACAAAACTCAAATACTCGAAATCAGAACGCTCAATTCGGCAAATATAGGAAGCGATCATAGCCTTTTACTCGGAAGAATTAAATTGAAGATACGAATACCAAAACAACCAAGACCGGTGATATCAACACAGAAACTCAGTATTGAGCTGCTATGGGACCCTACGATAAAGTACCTATACAAAAATAGATTGTAACAAAAAATCGAAGAAAACTCGATTTTAAATACTAACTACATCAATCTAGCTTGGGAAAGAATCAAGAATAATATCAAGAATTCAGCACGGGAGGCACCTGGAGAACGAACCATAAGAGTGCACCAAATAATCAACCACAAGACACCATGGTTCCCCCCATAAGTCAAGGAACAGTGCAAAGAAAAAAGAAAAGCCTACCTAAAATATTGTACTATGCGAACGCCAGAATCATAAAATAAATATGAGCAAGTTAGTTTACAACAGTCAAATCCCACACAATCTCATTAAACCATAGAGAACATATATAAAAACAACAAAAGACGATCACAAATAGGAGACTTCACAGAACCAATACCACCGGGTAGCGGTATTTGTCAGGGAGACTCCCTTGAGTTTTACCCTTTTCAATTTAATAATGAAAGAAATTGTTTGAAGTGTTGGAGGGCTAAAGGGATACAAAATGGGGGATGCAGAAATCAACATAGTGTGTTATGCTGACGATGCCGCTCTCATTGCAGAAAGTGAAGATACAAAGGTTATTACACTTATTCAGCCTAACAGCCAAGTCTCTAGATATGGAAATAGTGCTTAACAACATCAAAAACCCCTCTAAGATGCAAACTGGAACTAGACGGTAGAGTAATCGAGCAGAACATGAAATTTAACTACCTTGGCGTGGAACTTTCCGGCTTTGGGGATATTGAGGCAGAGGATATTGAGGTGAGAGATCAAACAACAATGGTGCAATAAGAGTATATGTCGTCACGGGCGACATATACCGCAGAAACCAGGCCAGAAACAGCGAAAACCAAAAGACTCCTAGAGACAGCTGAGATGAAAATACTCCGTAGGATCACTGGAATGACACTGCTGAATATAGAGAGAAGCGAGGATATCAGAACAGCCTGTAATGTCAAGAACATCAATGAATGGGTAGCAGACAGGAAGAAGGAATGGAATGAGCACGTAAGCAGGATGGACCACCGCAGACTTGTGAGAATCACTTGCGATAAGTCCCCATTGGGAAGAAGAGAGAAGGGCGCGCTCCAGGAAACGATGGAGCGACAGCCTCACGCAAGTGAACGATAATTGAACAGGCGATTCGCCTAAAATCAAGAAGGAGAAGACTGAAAGGTGCAAAATTGTATTATGGAACTAGCGGATATTTTATAAATACACTTGCACGATTGGGGCAAATTTCTGACTTAATAAAACTGAAAAACTCCTCGAATACCAGCGCGCGTGCTCGGAATAAGCTGATTTTGGTTGATGCGAGCTTTTTAAGCTACCGTTAACGGGAAGAAATTTTTGAAAAACAGACATACACCTTTAGATCACATTCGTGACTCACTGAAAATTGCACAATTTTTAGCTAAAATCAGTAATTTGTAAATAACCAGAAGCTTCAAACGCTTATACACAAGGGCCTCGTCTCAAAATGTTAAAAAATTCACCCTCCAATGCCTCCAGTTTACAAACTCTGTTTTTTTTTAATATAGTGATGCACTTTTCGGTCACATTTGTGAGCCACTAGAACTTGCAAATTTCAATAAAATCAGCACATTATCGGAACCAGACTACACTTTCTTCACTTTAGGGCAAGGGATTTTTCGTACACTTCCTAAATTTCAAAATTCCACCGCGTCCGATTTACGAGCTGTGATTTTTAATTTCAATCAAATGAGTGCGAATCAGAATCGCAAGAAATCTGGACACTGATTAACGACGGCTTCTTTTCAAAGTGTTCGAAAGTTCCAAATTTTGTACATACTTAGACCTCTGAAATTTGGTCTCTTATCAACAGAGGATTTTTTCTCAATTTATTGGGAAATTCAAATTTTTGTTTCCTGCGGTAGATGAGCTGTGGATGTTTAAAT